GAAGTGTTTGTGCAGTGCAGCCATGTCTCTCTGCATTTGCGTGTGTGTAGCCGTTGAGTCCTTCTGTAAAAATAGACCGAGCTTTCGTTCTCCATGCCCCTGGCCCTCAAGTTTATGTTATGTATTTCCGGGTATATCCCGAAAGCCCCTGCTGCTGGACTGAGCATGCCCTGCAGCATGCGAGAATCCCAAGAACTGGATGCACTCTTCCAATGTCTTCTTATGTGGCCTGTTCCGCTGCTGGGTTGAATCGTCCATGCACAGGCTTTGAGCGCCTGTACAGCGTGATCGCCGGCATCCTAGTTTCAGCGAAAGAGTGGATTCTTGGTCTGTTTGTGTTCGCCATGTTTTACTTTAATTGTTCCACGCCGCAGAACACAGGGGCCGTCTGCTCATGGTTCACGTAGCTAGTTAGCTTCACAGTGATTTTCACAATGTTCATGACTATCAGCTGATTTAGGTGCTGGTTCTCGGAATGGTGGTCTTTTCTTCCACGGTGAGCTCGATTACCGCCGCGACCAACAACCTCAAAGACATCAACGCGTGCGACCCCGAGGGGGATCGCAGACTCCGAAACCCCACAATTCGATTGATTCGAGGGTTTGAGAACATGTTCCGTCGGATTTGACCGTCTTTCACCGTTTGATCTCGGCAGCAGGCTAGCTGTGTCACTTGTACGAGAGAAAGGAGGGAACGGGTTCGGTTCCAAGCTTTCGGTTCGCTTGCGGTTTCTGCATTGAATGTTGGCATTTGAAGATGCCTTGTTGGAGTTGTTCCGAGATGTATGTAGCCTGGGCAGCCTGGGTGTGGTCTTGCAGTGGTCGTCTCGATGATCTGTGATGGTTTAGGGTCTCGGCTGGCATGCTAGAGAATCGTAGACAGCACCAGCAATCCCGACTCTCTACGCTTCCATCGCTTGAGTTCGTTTTGTCTTGGCACAAACACGTGTTTGCTTCAGCCTTTTGGAGATCTCTCTAGTAAAAATACAACCTGAAACCTTGAACCTTGATGACACCCTGCCACCGGCGCAGTGTGCAGCGCTTTCTCGCCCCAAGCCCCGGGCCGTACTGGTGGCTCCCAAACGGCAAAGTCTCCAACCACGTGTAGGACTCTTTATATGCACGCATGCTTTGTTGCTTTTCCAAGTTTGCCCTAAGCAGCCGCAGCCATCTTTGCAGGGTCTACAAGCACCAGATTTGGACTTTACGACGGTACTTCCGCGAGCAGAAGATCTCTGCTCAACTCACAAGCAGGCGCCCGCGAAACACACAGCAAGACCATAGTAGGGCTGACCGTGCGCGCAGGGAGAGTACAGAGAGTCAAGGCAAGCATGACCGTTCCATCACCCTGTGGAAACGACTCAGATGCCTTGGCAGGGTCTTGAGATACACGGAGTCCATTGTCAAGCCCAGATACCAGAAGGTGGATGTTGGGCAGGCGCGGTTGTCAGCATTGCTCTGAGCCTAGTAGGTTAATTTGCAGATTCCTGCACGGTTGAGCTGTTTGTAGTTTTGCTTCGGCTCGCTGCCGCACCTAATCCAGATGTCGAGTCCTTGAGGTCAAAATCATGGCGATGTTACCGCAGATCTTGACCAAGGCAAGTCTTGTAGGCAGCACTGTCGCAGTCCAAGCGGCTCGGCAGCGTTTCAAGTTCACTGCCCTGGTATTATGTTCTCAGGAGGTTAACCTGGAGATTTACGAAAAGCATTTGGTTGTCACGACCTCATTGTTATGCACTCGTGACAGCATCGGAGATTTCGTGTTCTTTCAAAGAGGAGTGCACAATGTGAGCGTCGTGTCACATGAGGTTCATCCACTGTTCCAATCCCTCGGTCGACCTCTCAGCTTGGGTGGCGCTACGATCAAGTACTTGGAGTGTGCCTAAAGAAACACTTAGTGGGGTCTGACTGGCAGAGCAGTTGTCATGTTGGTACGTGCTCCAAGCCTAGCCATGACAGGTCCTGATGACCTTTGTCAGAATGAAACTGTTCACAGATTCATTGGAATGTCATTGGCAGCACATTGGAGTTTCAGAAAATAGGGATCCTACTATTTAGGGTACTATGTTAGGGTCCCCTATTTTCGGAAACCCCCACATTGAGGTGAAGTCAACGTGAGCTTCATGCAGAAGCTTTGCTCAAACGCTCTCAAGGCCTCGCGCAGACTGGAAGTTGCTGAACGTAGCTGAGGGTCGTGCTAGCTGAATGCCAATCGTATCCGAGTATGAGTGACACACCTGGCTAGTCGCGAAAAAAGATTTGGGTAGGACGAATGACAGCGGTTTATTTCATTCTGACTGTACTGCCGTTTTTCGCAGGTTCTTAGCCCGCTAGGTTCCACTCAGCCTCGTCTTACGCGCCTTATGTGCATCACGCGCGCCTGGTTACTAACGTGTGTTTCCGGCGCATGCCACTGTCCCAAGAGTGTGTTGTGCGTTGGTTGTAGTTGCTTCGGGTTTTGCGCTGCACTCAGAAGTAGGTGCTGAGTGCTCTGTTGCAAGTATATACAGACATATCTCTCAACTCTAAATCCCAAAACCGCGTCTCCAGGTATGTCGGAAAAGGGAACTTGTACCGTAGTCGTCCCCTCCCCTGTGCCAAGCACATGGGAGTGAAGGAGTTTGCCCTCGACAAGGGTGAGATGGTCTTCGGGCCTGGGCAGGTCTGCTCTGCCATGCAGCGAACTCAGATTGCTTGAGCAGCTCACCTCTGATTTTGTTCGTGGCCTCCCAGTTTGCGCTTTCCTTTGCGAGCACGCAGTGCTTCACCGTGTTGCATAGAGTTCAGCAGTTGTGCGCCACGACAAGGTACTTCGTGACACTGGGAGTTCTGGAGTACTTCTTTTCGCAGGCCACCACCCCTCCCCTCCCATCCCCTCCCCTCTCCCTCTACCCCTCTCCCTCTCCCTCTCCCTCTCACTCCCTCTCCCCCCCCCTCCCTCCCTTCTCCCTCCCTCACCGGCACTGGTTCGCTTGTGGATTTCCCCTGTGCAGCAAGTCTGTGTGTCTGTGTCCTCAGTGGCAGGCAACATTCCCCAACATTGTTGACAAGAAGATGTCGTTTTGCGAGGCCGATCTGGAAGGAAATCAAGCTTGGAAATCAAGCTTGTTTGCCTTCGTATTCAGGGCCATTCGACAGGCTGAGTTGGTCCCAAGCAAAGAGTGTGCAAACAGTGGCTCACCTGTTCATCGTGCAATCGACAGGCAGTTCTTTGGACCCCTTGGGTTCATCAAGGGAGGACGGGAATGAAAGTAAAGATTTGCAACATGTAAACATGGCAAGGTTTAAGGCGGTCGTTTGCCAACGAACTGCACGAAGTTCAGCCATGGCTATGTCTGCTTTCGTAGAACTCAGAGTGCGGCTCACCCACTCACATGAGAGCGCTTGCATAAGGTGGTCCTTTCGAACGAAAGGACCCAGTGCTCTGCAGGATGTACACACGCACGGAGTCCACGGTCATCGCCGTGGACGCGAAGCAGTAGCGGCCTTTCGCGGCAAGTCACATCGGCACTTGCATGAAGCCCTCGTAGATGATGCAGCGTAGAGTTTCAGGGGCGCATGAGAAGACAGTGTCCTCGCTTGGACTGCTGCTAGAAGATGTCTCGATATTCTTTCAAAAGTTCTGGCTGGCAGTTCTGCTTCAGGTTCCACGACGTTGCGCAGTCTTTCAGCGCGGACATGGAGCTCTTGAAGCCGCTCTGCTAGTGCCGTTGCGGTTGAATTGGGGTTAGCTCCGACCCGAACGTTCACTTCGCTGGGTAGTAGATGAGGCCGCTTGCGTCTCCTTGTTCCCCTGGCTTCTCGATGCTTCTTTCCAAACCCAGCCAAGGGCTTACGGCCGGGAGTTCGTGTTCTCCATGAACGAGGTGGCTGGCAACTTCACGCCCGAGGAGGAGGTTCCCTTCAAAGACTTTCACCAAGCTGGCTGAAGCTTTCCACACTGTGCAGGATGACGAGGAGCTCTCAGACCTCTTCCATTCTGAAAAGGCCATCCAAGTTCTTCCAGGCAAGAGAGCTTTCGAGGCGAGGCGGCTGCATGTCGTGCCCGTTGCTGCTCTGGACGTCTGCACTACATACAGAAGTCTCACCAGCGCCCAGCAGTCTTTGAAGAGGTCAACATGGGTGGGTTTCTGGAAAACCCGTTTGCATGTTTCTCTCCGCTGCGCAAGCCCTGGTCAGGAGAGCAGTTACGCCAACTCAGCCAACTCTTATCTCCAAGGCCTCCAAGGGTTCAATGTCGTTCGTCGCGAGCTTGGCTTCTCCCGTGCTTTGCAACCGCACCGCGAGAGTTTCGATCGTATGCATCGCCAGTGCATGACACAACCCAAGCAAGTAACCCTAGCTTGACCCAGGCCCAGAATAAACTTGGGCTTCCCGAATCCTGAGGCAATCTGATATCGCCCACAAGCAGCCCAACCTTGAGATCGAAGTTTGCGCCGGAGGACCATACGGCAGCGAAAATGCATACATGTTGGCACGTGTGTAAAGCTTGTTTTGGTGCGCCATGCTTCCAAGAAGTGACCAGATTGACTTGACCTTGCTGTCCTGCCATTTCATGGACCGGACCAGAGTTTGGCAGCTGTCTCAATTTTGCAGCACAGGACGACGACTCCCAGATTCCTGACGCTTTCGCAGGGGTCTTGGACCTCTGATCCAGCGGGATGCCCGTGCCACCACCAATCAGTCCCACAGCATGGGACACAGGTCTGTTCGCAAACAAGTTGCAGTTGTTTGCACCAGGAGGACAGCAACGAGGCAGAGGTGGAAAGCCGCAAGTCCGAGATTGTTGGAAGCTCGGGAGACACGACCGAAGCATATATCATGCGTCGTGCGCGCGATAAGACAGGGCCGCCCGATGCGTAGACCGGGTGTAGCAAAGTATCGGTTTGGTGAGAGTGGTATCAATAGTATGAATAGCCGCAGCTATCCAGCTATTCCTGACCAACGGGTTCACGGATCTGCAGGTCGGCGAAAGATGCTAGGCACGGTGATAATGCTGTGTCGCGGCCTCAAAGGCTTTCCACAATCATCGTGCTGTCAGATGTGTATGCTTGTGGATCCCTGTGTTACGGAGTGTGGCAGCAGTGGTTCGGTGACAAGTGATTAGCTAATCCAATCACTCAGCCAGAGCTCAAACAAGGTTAGAATGATCAACTGGATTGAACAAATAGAGTCAATAGAGCCCATTCAGTGGAACTATGACGGCATCCGTCAGAATGGCCTCAAAGCAAGTAATAGGACGTAGATTGTGGGGGTAGATTGTGGGGAATACACCGCATCCAAGTTTTGCTTAACAGTTCGCCGGTCTCCTGGCCAGGCAACTATGGGAGATTTTTCCTTGGCACCGTACCATTAGGGAGAAGATGGGCGCTTGACTCGCATAGTAGAACCATGCAAAGTCCGTAACGGTGCTGGAGCACGTCACTATAGCGGTGCATCGCAGATCATGCCCATCTAACCGAGAATTATTTTCGCAGAAACGTTACTCGCAACATTGTGCATTGACACGCAACGTTGCGAGTTGACGCAGCAAAGACTGTAGATGATACACGTGAGGCAGCTCTTTTACAAGCATGCCCACAGAAAGTGTGGCACAGCCTGCTGCCAGCTGCACATCTCGTACAACGGTTTATCCACGAACGCCAAAGGCGTCTTGGTAATGATACTGCCTCACGCAAGCGATCGAACAGGTAGCAGCCTGTTTGATAATGTGCCAAAAGTATCGCGTTGCACCTTTTATTCATGCCTGTGGACCACATGCGCTTTGAACATACTTGAGCCCTCAACCCTAAACTCGAGCCATTAGCTCCGTATGACAATTCGTGGCCAAGTCCTTCGGCCTGCGAGGGTCGCACGCGCTCGCAGACGCAATCTGTTTACGAATCCCCAAATCCAACGAGAAGAAGGACGGAACCGTAATTGATGCAACTGGCTGTAGCGAAGCTCTGTCGCTTGCCAATCGCATCTTACGGCCTTCATGTCAGGCTTAGTTTTGGAGGTACATCGGCAGTTTCAATCCCAGCTTCGAGATATCGACGCATTCCTAGACTTATCCTACTTTCAGATTCAGAAGCTTACCTTAATCGGCGAGTATGAACTGTCGCGCACCCTGCTCGAGCCCAAAATCGGGGCAAATTAGTCGTTAGTGCCATGTTTCTGCTGTCTGCCGTCGTGGTTTGGCTGCCGGCTCTCGGAGTAGCCGCCGGCCAATCCCAAACATGTGCCGAAGAAGATTCGCAAGGATATTGCAACGATAGGAATGACCACGAGAAGGACCATGACCAAGAGAGTGCGGCTTTGCTACATTTGAAAAGTGGCAAAAGTGGGACCTTGGGGGGCCCAGTGACACCGTCCACATGTGAGCGTTCCAATACGAGTGTGTATTTCAATCATTTGGAGCATGGAGGTGATGACTGCTGGTGGGCTTGTGGAGAGCGAGGTGGTTTTTGTGAGTACTGCGGCGGTCATTTGTGCTGTGCTCCGAATGGTGAAAGTGACACAGGGTGCCACCAAGAGATTTGTGCGCAGACCCGCGATTGGGACACCAACAATCCGTTCTCACGTAGACGCCATCATTTTTGTGGCCGCTTTGAGCCCACAGCTCCAAACTTGACATCGGAGGAGGCCTTGATTGAGTTGCCCCAAGTGACCACCCAAACAGATGAAAGTGCGAGACAGACCCGCTTCCGCTTGCTCAGTGCTTTGAAGGGTCGGCACTTTATTGGGGAGATTGCGAGCTTAGTCAGGTGGTTTGACTTTATCCCTGCCGTGAACGGATATGTTGCGCAGTTTCGGCTGCCGATCGGAGACTACCAGACGAAGAGCTGCGATTTGGCTGGAGTTCTGGCTATCCTCGGACAAACGAGCAAGCTCGATATGGTTGGTGCTGGCTACTCATACTACATTGCGAAGTCAAGCCCAAGACACCCGAGTATCAACATGGGTGGCTGCAAATGCATGTCTTATAGCAACGATACACTGACAGCTTGTGCAGGCGATGTCCTTGCCGAAGCAGTACTAGTGTTGGAGTCTGCAGGTAAGAGGTTGATAAGCCATGGTGGATACCATTACCTGTCCTTTGGCGGAATGATCGCGACCTTCAACCATGGAAGCAGTGAGCATTACAACAGCATCGTGGATGGAATCAACTGGATGGAGTTCTATGATTTGAGCTCCAAAACCTTTCGCGTGTTATCAAATCTGACTCTCATCAAGCAGGTCATTGCCAGTCGATCCTTTATTATGACCCGAGCCAACTTCTGGACAGTGCCAGACGAATATGTGATCACTGTCACTCGCCAGATTCGAGGCAAGGAGGTCATGGATCAAGATTTCTTGAAGTCCTTGGACACTGTGCAGTTCGTGTCCGCAGTTCAAAGATTTCAGACAGATGGCTCGTACGTGATGGAGGTTTTTGGAGCTAGTCCCCTTACAACTGCCCAGCTCCAAGTCCTCTACAAGAAGTCATTCTCTCCGCACGTTTGTGCCCAAGACTACCGCAAGTGTCGCTTTGTGGATTTCTTTCTCGGAGGCGATGACGCAGATGACTCCCAGAGCATCTTCGGCTACTCCTTCGATCTGAACGGTCATGTGGTGAAGTCAAACGTCGTTCAAGCCTGGTGGGATGTCAAAGACGCTTTTGGCACTCGCTTTTTTGGAGCAAATTTCCCACCCGAAGTAGCAAACACTCGCTCATACCAGTTTGAGCTGTGCGTAAGGGGCTACAACTTAACAACCATGATCAGTTTCTATCACACGAGTTATCAAGGCTGGGCTGAAGACCAGCGGCTCAATCACGCAGCAAACTTTCGACGCGGCCGTTGCGACTCCTCGGACTCCTTGGAGTGTTGGACTTGGATCGAAATTGACATCCTGGGACAGTACCACGAGGCTGTCCTGCTTTGGAACCGTGTCATAGGTCTGTTCAACAGCACGGAAACATACGTACACCGTGGCAAAGAACGGTTGGGAGAAGGACCCGCAAGGGAAGTACTTCATCTCTGACAGCCTGCGGCACACAGACATGATGCAAAACGAGGCCAGAAGTGGCTGTTTGGTCAATGAACCAGGCAGAACATGCCGCCAAACTGTCGATCGCGGCGGCCCAGCGACGGAAAAGTTAGCAACATACCTAAACTCCGACGGCCCTAAGGCCCTTACCCGAAAGGATCCACACTCAAGGTGTCCGAAGCTCCTAAGCCTGGCTCGACGATCCAAGATTCATATACCAAATTTCTCAACTCCTTGAGCCCCACTTGTCATATCTTCGGCATGAAGCAACCGAACCCTGTGAAAGGAGCGGAGTACGTCTGTTGGGCAAGGCTTGCAGTCTTGAGCTACCAGACACGTGCATGCAATTTCTGCAGTCTACAACTGTAACAGTACAGGCAGAAAATAGGTCCGGTCCAGCTACACCAGCTGAGCTCGCAAAACCGCAGCCACTTGGACCCAGTGTGGTTAGGTCCTTCCTCGCGGCCGTACGTGCTGCGAGGTGTAGGGTTCAGAATGTACCACAGGGTCTTGCTGTGGCTGTGGCTTTGTGCCCTGGCTTGGGCCACCACTGAAGACGACCTCGTCTCAGCTGTGCAGAGTGGCAATGTGAGCGAGGTGCAGGTGCTGGTCGGGCAGTTCGACATCAGTAGCATTAGCCGGCGTGTGTCCTACTACGGACAAGATCACCGCTCGTGGACACTGCTGCATGATGCAGCCCGCTATGGCCATAGCCAAGTATTGCAACTTCTGCTGGAGACGTGGCCAGATGGCATCGATAGCACCAGCGACGTTAAAGCCCAATGCCCCCAACATAGCGACAGCCGGGCGCCGTGCAGGGGTGGCAGCACCAGCTGGACGCCGCTGCATGTGGCCGCCATGAGCGGGCAGGTTGAAGCATTCTCGATGCTGGTGGAGGCATTGTCCCAGAAAGGTCGCACTGCCAGTCTTGAGGACCTGATGGTCTTCCAATCCGTCGATTGCAACCTGCTGGTGGGGTTTGGATGCGACCCACAGGGCATCGAAGTACTCGACGAAGCGGCGAGGGACCTTGATTGCCGGAATCCTTACGAGTTGACCAACCGCTCGCTGGAGATGTGGCTCTATAGCTGCAAGGGTGATATTCGCTGGCACGACGATGCCGGCACTCCACTCTTGGACCTCCTTGAGAACGAAGATGCACGGAAGTTCTGGCGAGAGCATGCGACTCTGCAAGCTAGCATGCTGAACACCATGAGAGACTGGCAGGCCTGGGTGATTCCTGGACTTGCAGCTCTGATGGCATACTTGTCGGTACTCGTGGAGAGAAAGTTCCTCCATTGGTGTTGCGAAAAAAGTAGAACCCAGCAAGCCCAAACAGATAACGACCAAGACCCCTTCCTTTCTGGTGCCAAGCTCTTGGTGAGCCGGGCTTTCAGTAGGTTCACGCTGTCAGTGAAGATGTGGCGCTGGCTGGAAGTCTCCGTTGGGATTTTTTGGCTGGGGCTCGTGCTGTTGATCGCGCACTGGGCATGGTGGTTACCGCTAGTTGCGGTTCTGTACGTGGCCCCTGCCATCAAACTGCATGGGGCTCGGGAGTTATTTCAATCTCCGACTCTGGCATTGGTGTCTAGAAGCTTCGGAGGCAAGGTTGCAGCCCTCATCCGCACCACGGCTCTCTTCGGCATTTTCTGCTTCCTCTATGGTGGTCTGTATTGGAAGATGGTGATCCCTGAGTCAGTCATATCTGCGTTCTCGTGGATGCTTGACCCCTCGGTGGTCGCGTGGGAGGACAGGAAAGTACGCTTACTGAGAAACAGCAAGCTGAACGAGCACTGGCTGTTCCCCTGGGCACCTCCAATCACTGCGCTTGAAATCTTCCGAACTGTGAGAGACGTTTGCATTGGCCTGGTAGTAGTGTACTGGGTCATTCTGCTTTGCATGGTGCTGTTCAAGTGTTTCCGGCGCTGTCTATGTCGAAGCATTACTTCTCCGACACCCTCCCGTCATGAGCTTGAGGATGCTGTGCGACAAGTTCTGCAGAAACCACCAGACGAGTTTGGCGAAGTTCACAAGGGCATCAAACCGACGACGTCCTGCTCGTTGTATAAAAGCGTTGCAATGCAATTGCTGGATATCGCCTTCGATTTCAACACTGTGTTGAGTTTCCTATTGGATCGGAATTACCTCTTCGCCGCCGTTATGACCTTCTTTGTGGTGCGTAGCATCACCAAGCAGTTCTACGTCCTCCCTTTTTGTCACTTCCGGGAGGCCTGGCCGTGTTTCACCTTCACTGCATGGCCCATCACGAAGACTCACTCGACTTTTCGACGATCATGACCATGTCAGCATGCATATGGTTTCGTGTTTCGATGCTAATTAGAACAAGTAGCCACCAAGCCTGATGCCACGCAAAATCCTGGGAGCACCGAGCCATGAAGTGTGCGGCAAGCTTCCAATAAACGTGCAAATCCTGCCACCAAAAACGATGCCAACCACTCCTGAGGCCGATTCAAAAGCCTGAGACTTCTTATGAGTCACCAGCAGCGCAGCCACAAACCTGGCAAACCAAGCCTGAGGCTTCCTGAAATCCTTGGCACGCAGTCCGAAGCGAAGGTAATACTTGTTGCATGGGCATGAGCCAACTGAGTGGTGAAGTGGGCTAATTTCTGAGTCCGTCCCTGCAGACAGGCGCTCAGGGAGAGCGTGCGTCGAGGCATACCACGACAGGACGTTTTGGACTTTTTGGAAGATGCCTGGCCGATTTCTTTCATCTTGTGCCCACAACATGCCACACCAAGGTTTGATTTGCCTTAAAGACCTGAACTTAGACAAGCCCTGAACTCAAACTCCAGTGGAAGAGACAAGGTTTTGTTCGGCAGGGCTTGCCAAGAGCAACCAGAGACCATAAGAAGAGTGTTCTTCATATTTCCAAACACATGTAAGCATTGTTGTCTACAAAGCGTAAATTAGCCACCAGCCAGCTATATCACTTACGAGCCGGTTTCCCAGAAGCCTCAACAACTTTGCCGTAGAAGATCACCTCTGCAAAACTCGAAGTCCCCACACTCTGATGGAACCACCAAAGCCGCGGACCGTAAGGATCGCATGTGTTCGGGGAGTCATTGCGCATGACGTAATCCAAACTCTAGCCGCGGCACTACCTGCATGGGATTCATGAACGTGCTTACTAACATAAATCAGAGGGAGAAGTCCCTAACTGAGAAGGATTTCGGGGGACAGTCTCAGTCACATGCACACCCGATCACGTCATGCATGTGAGTCAACCTAAACGAGGGAGTAGATCAATGCAGGTCAATGGGAGTGGGAAGCGCAAGCGTTGTCACGTAGGGACCGATCCGGCTGGCTACACGGGCGTGACCCAGGGTACTACTAGTGCTATGCATTCACGGCAACCTCTGACTTAATCGGTGCAGTTCGGGCGGGCTCCGTTCGGATGTCATGGAAAGCTGGCTGTTGCTTAGGAGGAGAAGCGGTCGGAAGCTCTGTTTTGCGCCTGCATTACTGCCTATGCGTTGTTCTTCTCGGTGAATACCGCGGGGCAGATGCTGACGCAGTATTGCAGTCTGGTGTCGAGCACATGGCAGCTCAGAGGCTACTCAAGCTAACGCAGCATTTGGCTGTGATGGGCCAGGTTTTGAGGGCTCTGTGGCTCGTGGGGCCTTTTCCGCCCTGCAGGCCATGCAGCTGAACTGTGCAACATGGACTTCCCTGTGGATGAGGCCGCAGGCGTGGCGAGTGCGAGTGCAGCTCCCCTCCATGAAATGAACAGCGACCTGAAAAATGTAGCCCCTCGTTCAAAAGCAAGTCCTGGCTTCCATCGGTAGGCATGGAATCGTTGTTCGGCCTTCCAAGCCTGCGTCACTGAGGAAGGAAAGGATGCCAGCTGTCAGTCAGCGAACGAGGAGAACCCCGTGAGTGCAGCGAACAAGTCAGAGCGTGACGGTGCCACGGCTGAAGCTGGGCAATCTGCTGCTGCATTGGCTGCTGCGCTTCCGGGAGATTCAGCTGTGTAGGGTCTAGATTGCAGAATTCGTGCAAACTCTCGAATCAGAGTTTGCCTATTGTGCGAAAGAGCTGCAGGCTCTTCTATTCAATCATTACCTTGCGCAGAGTGCCACACGGAGTGCTCATTCCTCATGGTCTTGAGCAGCAAACCATTATAATATGCTACGCGAGCTACGAACATGTCACAGAGGTGAAACCAGCATCTGCAGCCAAATCGCAACTTGTTTTTCACGAGCCCGAGCAGGCAACTGGTGCTTTTTCACCTGAGGTGTCGAAGCACTGGGTGACCATTTCGCACGAGTTCATCCCGCAAAAAACGGGTTGGTGCTTGTGAAAAGGATCACAAGCGACTTTATGTACTATTTTGTTTTAAAGACGAGTCAGTCGGCCTTGCCACTGCGGAAAAGCTCGGGACTTTAAGCTTTGATTTGAGTGGTCCACGTGCTGAAAGCATCAACTTGAAGCTCCGGTTCATGTTGACGAAATCCTGCTTAATATTGCCCAGAAGCATGAGCAAGTGTGGGGAATATCCTGGTCCGCTGATGCAGAGCCAAGGCTCTGTAAATCGGATCATGATGCATCATCGAAAGCCGGAACCAGAAAGGCATGGCATACTTAAGAAGTTCCATTCGAAACCCTGAAAGCCAGGGAACGATACCGAGCGAAGTTAAGATCCCCTGCACAGACATGTGGAGAAGGAAATTAGGATCAGTTCGACATCAGACAAGGCGTTGAGGAAACCATAGATACAAGTCTCCGCTTCGACCATGTCTTGACAGCAATGGCGATTTATGTCGAGGCCTTGGCTTAGGAAGGGTGCGGCTGTTGGCGTGAAACTAGCCACACGAAGGGTGGACTGAGCGTTGCCCGCTAACTTCCGAGGATGGAAGCTCATACAATGGATTGAGCGATGCGCTGGAGACTGAGCTGAAGCCTCTTCAAGTGACCACTTTGCAACTTCTGCGTAGTGACAATCGGTTCGTGTAAGGTGTGCAGCATCATCATCGTCATCATCACATGTATGCCAAATGTGTATAGTATATAACTGCATCTACCTATCTATCTGTCTATCTATAAATACAGAGACACAAAAGACCTGAATAGACTGCTCAGGTTCCGCAGACGGCTTCAAAAGCAAGAGGCAACAGAGCAGAGGGCTTAGTGTTAGCTTTGAGTTGAACTCGCTTTGCCATGAGTGTTGTTGTACAGGGTGTAACAACACAAGATACTTGGCTCATGGCCATCCCATTGCACCACTGTCGGCGCACTCTCTCGGAAAGCAACATGTAATTCCTAGCACTCCTCGCCGACGAAGCGTGAACTTTTGTGCGTTCAGAAGATGTTTCAAGCGCATGGCCCCACGAGCTACGGGCAGAGAGCTCACTGCAACGAGGTTCTTCGTCATCGTGTCTGATAGCCAGTTTGCAAGACAACCGCAAGCATTCCTGCAAGTCCACACTTCAACCCAGCACTTCAGAGTCATAGCAGCGATTTCACATTCTACTCAAGTGATGCATTCCTTTGTCTCCAGCGTTGGTGTACTTGCGTTCATGTGGCATTGCGCTCATCATTGCAACAGTGAGGATACTTCGGCGAACAGATGGCACTACGCAGAGAATTTGGGTAAGCTCCTCAGGGGCTGACACCATGGAGGAGGAATCCCAGCACGACTCCTTTTATTCGGTTCTGCAGCCTGCGGCACGCACCGCTGCAAGATGTGACGTGGCCAAGGGCTGTCATGCCCGTTTGAGACCATAATTCGTTGGCCCGTGCACCCAAGGCCAAGGAGGGGCGCCCCTCCTACCAGGCAAAACCGGATCCCGGGAAGAGGCGAGGCAACTGTGATACGCAGGCTGTGAAGCTGTCAATTGTAACTGGCCGCTGCATACTCGCATGGTGTATGTTTGATGATGTCATTTTGGTGTCACACTTGTGAAAGATCTTGAGCAGGCTTCTTGACGAAGCTGCGGTTGAAGTAGCCAAGCAGAAAGAGTTTCTGCCTGCTTTCTCCGTTGTGAGCTTAGCTCGCAGCTGCAGGGATTGTCCGGAATGTCTAGTTACAGACTTGATCGCTGCTCCAGCGCTCCTCACAAGACTACTGACAATTGCATCGATCCAAGCTTTCGCAGAACGTCTTGAAGCCGTTGTTGTTTTTCGTGCTTGCTCGCTCAGTACCCTGTCAAGCTCGTCGTAATCAGGTCAGGATCTTAGCGGCGCTCTCAGTCACACACCCAGTGAAGTTCAACTGAAGCTACTGCACCGACGGCAATCCACATGCTGCCAAACCCTGGACCTTAGTTACTCGACGGGACGCAACTGTCTCGTATCCTCTCTTGTCGTGACATCTGTGTTTCTTTGTGCTTGTATGCGGGTCAGTCGTTTGCAAGCATTGCTTTTCTTTTACTGGTAGGAGAGTTTGATGGAGTTTCAGAGGGACCGCGAATTTTCATACATTATTGGCCTTGCAGGGGTCAACATCTGACTTGACCATTGACGAGTCCACGGAGTTCGCAAAGCAGGCGCTGGCTCATTTGCCTTTCATGGCTTGTTTGATGCCGGTGTTTGAAAGAAAGGTCTAAGTTCTGTCTGAAAGTCTCAGGGGAGCCAGGTGTGCACGCGGAAGCCATGGTTCAATTCCTCTTCATTTGCACTTGACTTTGGCTTGTAGTTTATCTTTATTATGGCGACTCGGCGTTCATTGGCTGCACTTTGCGTAGCAAGTAGGTGCGTCAGAAACCACAGTCATGAAAAGGCTCAGGTTGAGAAACTCTCATAAACTCCCAGCCGCTGCAGCCAGTCTACGCCCGGCCAAGACTTCTTCGATTTCAGGTCACCTTCGAAGGATTCCGGGGCCGGGACACGGTGGGGAGCCTGAAGGATCGCCTCTTGAAGGACAGAGAGCAGCATGCAAAAAAGAAATCTGAGATACGGCCCTTCTCTTTACACCGAAGGATGGCCTGGCCTCTCGGTCGCCGCGCATCTTCCTCCCGCCGCATGAACTTCGGGACCGTTTTTACGGGGAGCAGGGACACCAAAAACAAATCCTCCAGTGGCTCCAGCTCTGCCAGGACGCGACAAAACTTGGGGAGTGCTTTGCGCAGTGGTCAGGCTTCGGCTTGGACGCGGCCTCCGCTAGAGCATCTCCAGCTGCTTGAGCATCTGCCTCCATGATTCGCACAATTCGCTCTGTGAGGAGAATTGGCCTCCAAGATTCGTCATGAAGCCCCCGCTGCAGGCCTCCGAGATGACGCAGTTTCATTTTTTCCTTCGTTCCTTTGGAAGCCTTCTGGGATCTTCTTGGCCTAGCCTCAGCAGCAGTATCCGGCAAACCTGCAGCGCGATCCATAGCAACAAATCCAATCTTGGACGGGCCGCTTGTGTTGCGGACAGGGCTTCGAGCTGCCGGTGGTGGTGTTCGCAACTGAGAGCATCCCGCGCCCTGTCTAGAAGCTGTTTAGGGAACCTGTGCAACACTGACTGCACCAGCAGCTTTTGTGTTGAACAAGTTTCGCAGCTTGGTTTGGAAATAAGATGTTCAACAGGCTCCTGGCGAGCAAGTGTTGGCTGCCATGTGTATTGTCACTGCTGTGCAGCACCTATATAGTCCTTCTCTACTGCTCTTGCTACTCTGACTGCTCGCGCTCCTACTCCTCTAGTCCTGCTGCTATTTCTGCTACCAGAGTTTACCAGAGTGTTCGAAACGATATGTTGTTGCACAACATTGCATTCAAAAAGGTTTGTGTTCAGTAACCTGGCTGAAACAGACTTAAGAATGCCATGGTTTAGCGGGGCAACTGCAGAACGAAACATGCTGTTCACCATGATTTATCAGCATGTCATGCGCGCGAAGCTCAGTTTTCGAACACATGCTTCTCTTCGTAGTAGAATCTACAATCTGTAATAAGTTCGCTTAGCAGTGCAAACTGGACATACGATACACGTTAAGGATTAAGGCTCGTCATACCAGAATGTTCAGTATCAGCAGTTTAGAGCCTCATGCACGCGAACATGTTCTCATTCAGTCCAATTGTTTCTTCTGAATCATGTCATGCCTTTTCTGGTAGCTTTTCGCACAGCCTTTATTGAAAGATGTGGCATGTCGATTCGATTCACATTGTGTTTGTTTGTATTCGTTGACTGCTCTCCCAACACAACAGTGCTGATCAACGGGAAATCCGAAACATCGCCGATTCCTTGACTCGAGATTGCGGAGAGTTGCATCATGTTGACCGATGTGTCTTGCACACCTAGGTCGTCCTTGGTATACTGACGCAACTGATTGCCTTCAGTTATCAGGGACTAACTTCGTCTTCACAACTAGGTCCTGGGTCTTCAAAGAGGTTATGCTTGCGAGGAAGTGCTGATAATCGGAGGTCAACATGTGGCCAATCCTGCCTGGGAACCTGGAGCAGAACATGCCCCGCGGAACGTCAAATCATAGACCCCTAGCCTAAACCTTGAAACACAAGCCCCGGGTCGAGTGCGCAGCCTGTTCCACATACCTGTTATGCACAGGACACGTCTTGTTGTTGAACTAGCTATTATCGAGATCTTGAACATGGGAGAGCATTGAGATGCCTGCGCGCATGCCAATGCATGCTGCATGGCTGATCGCACAGCACACAGGCATGAGTCGTCACAAGCTTAAATCCTTGAGTTGCTGGGAGCGAGGTCAGCGTCCTTGGACACCGCGGTTTGGGAAGAAGTGGCGGGACAGAGAAAGCTTAAACGGTACGGAGAGAGGCCGGAGAGTAGGAAGCGCTGCAAAGTCCGAGTGCTTCTGAGGCAGCATGTAGTGAGTTGTGTAGCTCTTCTCTGTGTGTAGGCGCTTGCTCTTCGACCTGCAGCCTTTGACAAGCGTCGCTGAGCTCAAGAAGCTGCTGGAGCCAGCAGCTGAGACCTTCCAAAACGTGGATGCGAGAAAGCGAGAAGCCTGCAGCTCTCAGGATCAAGCTCGCCATCCCTGCAGACACCTGGCTCGTGAATTTAGAAGACAGTGGGTCCATGCATGTAACACTGTACGTACAGGTATAGGCAGGAAGGGACTTGGGGAAGAGAGGTGGGGAGGGAGGCAGGCAGGAGGCAGGAAGGCAGGGAGAGGGAGGGAGAGGGGAGGGGCGAGGGGAGGGGAGGGAAGGGAAGGGAGGCAGGGAGGGCGTGTGTGTGTGTGTGTGTGCCTCTCTCTTTGTTTGGTGTGTGAGTGTGTGTCAAACCCTGTTTCAACAAGAGTACATGACAGCAGGGGGCAATCTGCCCAGTCAGAGTGATTGCCCAACGAAGAGGCTCTGACTAGGCACTGAGATCAGTCTGGGATGCCGGACTGACGTGCCTGCCACATTGGCCACCCACATGTCCCATCAAAGCTGTTGTTTCATAGTGGCCATACATCCTCTGTTGTGTATGCTATGCACTTTCAGTCATTGCTGTGTATTGTTTTGTTTGCAGATGCCGTGCTCAGGAAATGGCTCCAAGGCTATAATGAGAATGTCTGAAGTGAAAGCATGTCTGAAGTTGTGTGATTCATCTGATTCCACACAATTGACTTGAGACCTGGGACACACTGTGTCAAGTGTGTGTGTGTGTGTGTTCATATTGTCAGATACACATATGTACATAATTTTCGTATCTGTTTTTTTCATATGTGTGTGCGCGCGTGTTCTCGTATGGTTTCTCTCCTCTGTTTGCATCCACTGAAACTGTTCTGTCTTGCAGAGTCTGCTGAGGACAAGCAAGTCCTTTCTGCTGAACTGGTGGCAGAATTTGACCAAGGCAAAGCCTGCTTCAGACGTTGAAGTCTACAGTACTGAACGTTCCTCATACTGCGGCAGCAGTACCAATGTCGTTTCGAGGCTCAGCTGTTCTTATCGACCTCGACAACGATGCCTCGACTATGAGGGACCACGGAATCGACCGGCAACTCGATTTTAAAGGAATTCCAGAGTACCTCACTCCCAGGGGGCTTGTATCGTGCGGGAATGCCGAAGCTTTGGTGGTGAACACACGGTTCTGCGCACGGATACATGCCAAGCCTTACTTTGCAGGCTGTTTTTTGTCAGCTGCGCGGTCTCATGCCTTTTGGAGACTAGGCCCTAGGCGGTCCGAAGGTTAGAAAAATGCTGCCAACGACGAAGCACAGGTTCGGGTTGCAGGTCTATCTCGGCACTGACAGGCTGGATGGTAGCTCCAGTGGTTGAGGCTTTCGGAACTCTTGCGGGGCCTTGCATTGGGTTGGAAGCATTGAGTGGATGCGCTGTGTGGATGTGCTCGATAGCGGTCGTCAAATGAGAGTGAGTGTTTTAGTCCAGCACTTCCCATGTCCTTGGCTCACAGGCTGGCCGAGCTCGATGAACTCTTAGCGTCAGATCCAGTCTGATATGCGATATGTGGCGCGTCACAGCGGCACCGTGACCTTCAGCTACACATCTCATCGAGCTCGAGGCAGCCCGGCGGCTCTTCAATCGCAGGCTTCGGCAGCCGGCAGTGGCAGCCCGTTGCTCCCATCGGCTCATACCAGCAGGACGACATCGACCCGTTTGGAATCGATGCGGCTTCAAAGTCAAGTCGAAATTGCACCGGTTTTAAGGCATTCAATGGCAGACGCCGCACAACTCGAAATTCTGTGCGACAAAAGCATCCTCATGCCGTTGCAAAAATCGGTGTGCCATGTGCCGAACGAAGCCTTGCGCAAAAACCTCTGCCAGGGCAGTGAAAGGTCTGAGGTCCTTCCTGCCAACTCTGTGCTCGGCTGCTTGGCTCCGCGGCGACTGCATTCTAGGAAGGCGGCGTATGTCGCTGTTGCGACAGTAGGCCCGAAGGTCGGGAACCGAGTTTTGGGAGAAGCACCTGTCGAAAAAATCCGATGACTCTCATGCCTGTTGAGGCCTTGCTGCCTTTGACTATGCCAGGCCCTACATATGTTTGCCTGCAGAAGCCTGAGCGTTCTGATAGTTCTTGGTGGTGTTGCTACTTGTGTCTGGGCAGCCTAAGGTCCAAGGCATTTGTGCGAAGGCGGATGCTCACAGCTCTTTCGATGTACTTCTGCTGCCATCTCAGATTGGAATGTGCTGGCACAACTTCTCATGGCAGGTGCATTCACTTTGTCCAAAGATTGCAAGAGTCGTCAGCTTTCCGTGCATCTGCTAAATATGTCCGGAGAGCCATGCCTATATCCCAAACTTTCGACTATGTCGAACAGCGAGCGCCTTGGGATGAACTAACCGTCAGTCCCAAACTAGCACATCCCAGGACCCTTACATCTCTTGACCGCCCTGGCGCTTGCGGAGCCCCTGCAGACTAAGGTGTGACTACAGTGCTCTGTGAGCGTCTGCCAGTAGATGAAAATGAGCTGGAAGAGGAGCGATGCGAGTACAATTCGCTTCCCGACATGTCCGTTGTGTTTCGCTTGTTCGCCGGTTTGACGTGCGCGCGCGTGTGTGTGTGTATGTGTGTGTGTGTGTTTGTGGGTCTGGAAGGACTCTGACAAGGCTGCCACACAGGCTTGGAAACCTTGCCAAAACTTGACATGAGTACGCGAGGCCTTTATCGCTTGGTGGAGTGGTGAACGTGTTCTGTAAGACGCTAGAAAGACAAACATTGGCATACTGCAGCTTGCTTTCTGTGCCTGCCCCTGATATCTGCTGACCATCTAGCAGTCTAGCAGAATCTAGCAGTGCGGCTGTCCCTGGGAAAACTCGCAGCTACTCGCATGAGCTGTAGCAGGCCTCGGCCGACAGACCTGCAAGCGACTTGGATGCTGCAAAGGCCGGATTGCTTTATCGGAAGGGCCTACTTTGTGGTAGGTTCACTTTGCCGAGAGTCCACTTGGAAGCACAGACTCCATGGGGACTTGCATTCGATCAGTACCTATAGTCTCCATGGTAGTTCCTTCTTTCGGGGTTTACCAATTATATATATTAATCCAAAAAAAAATACATATATATATATATATATTGTACTATATAATATGGATTTTATAAGGTATCCCCCAAAAAGGAACTACAATGGAGACTATAGGTAGCTTCTGGCAGGCTTCGGCCGGAGCTTCCCCAGACGCTGCCAGAAAGGCCCGGGCTTCGCTCTCTGCGCTGACTGCGGCGGGTGGTGTCGGATGCATGGAGCCCACTGCCTGTTGATTTCAGTGCATCCGGATAAAGTCTTTGCACGCTTGAGAGGGCACTTCACTTCTCTTTGTCGCGAGGTGCTGGAGACTGCGCCTCTTCTGTCAGCCAGTTTGAAGGAGCCCTTAGTTGGGAGGCTGGAGGCTGAAGTGGCAACGAAATGATGAGCCAGGCCTCCTCGGCACTAGATCTCGCAGACCACGAGAACGTCTCGCGCACCTCCACAGAGACAGTGCAGAAGGCTTGCATGGGAGGTTGTACGTTCACAGCGTGAGGTCACGGAAAGAGGGCAGAGCCCAGAAACAGTTCTCGGGCCAGGCCTCGTCAAGTTCACGGAAGGCCAAGGCCAAGATCGGGATTCTTTCTCCTTGGAAATGGTACTGAACGACCTGGAGCTTGCAAATGTTCAGGTCTCTGCAACGCAGGCGGCCTGGCAGAAGGCCGCGATGCACCGGCTGTTCTCCCGGCGAATTTCAGAGGCCCGCTGTCCAAAGGGAGACTTCTCGGTGCCTTGCGCCGGTTTCGTACATGACACTCCAGAATGCTCAGTCACCAGGTACGAACCATAGCCTGAAATACGATACTTTTAAGCTCTCGGCATGTGGCTTCGCTGCGAGCACTAGGACTGCAGCGTTCTATGAGATATGATATGATATAATGATATAATATAGTTATCTGTGCTACGGCCACTTAGCAGCAATAAGTTAGCCAAGCAGGCTCAGATACTGTAGCGAGCATTGCCATCGAGCTCATAAGTCATAAGCAGCACATAGCGGAAGAGGGCATTAACTGGAAAGCTCCTGCAGATCGACCTGCGCAGGCAGCTCATGAGGGGCACGTCTCAGTGATAGCCCATGGTTCGCGCCCCGGATCAGTTTGGATTTCCAGAATGCACAACCGTGTCCAAGATTTTGAATGACGTTCTCACCTGTGGCTCTTTTTCATGGCTCCTCAGCCAGACTTCGAATGCTAAGGGCGACAGAAGCATCGCTGGGACCTGGGCAACGACTACTCCAGCGACGGAGAAGCGCAGGAGGCCATCTTTCCAGTGAGGCTTTCTTGCCTTGATTTTTCCAGTTGCTGGTTTGTTAAGTTGCTGTATCTCGGTCCCATTGAAATCAAGTCAGCAGCTAATTCAGTTTCGTCATCTTCGGACTCTTCCACAGTGCCATGCACATGTTGCTAATCAGCTAGCCCCCATGATCATTGAGTTCTTACGCCCTGAGTTGCTCCTGCGCTGACCCCTTCAGAGCCCGAATCTGACGAGGAAGAGGACGACAGCTCCGAGTCCATGGCGAGGCTGTCCTGGGAGGGGGGGCTTTGGGCCAGGCTGTGCTAGCTTGGCTGTGTTTGGGCTGCAGCTTAAGCTGAGATCCTGAGACCAGGACCGGCCATATTCTATTAGAAAGAGCATAAGTTATGAGCGAAGGATCGCACCCGGAGCAGTCTTTAGATGTCTTGTGCGGACTTGACATGTCAGGAATCAAAGGCTGACTGTCGGGGCCTTGGTTTCACGGTTCGAAGCCTGCGGGAGTGCCGTTGTCAGTGCGGCGGAGGACGTTACACTCCGCCCCGGGGACTCCCCTCGGCTCAGGGTTTCAAGCGCAAAACAGTTGTGGTTTCCAGTGGTTTGTGCTCGGATTCCCTTTGGTCCAGGCCAGGTGAAGTGAAGGGCACAGGATCTTCGGGGGCTTTGGGCACCGAGCTGTTCAGCCCGCCCTGCCACAGGGGCAAGGCGACAAGGGTAGGGAAGAAAGACATGCATACACTGCCGTAGTTGCAGTGAAGATGGGTTCTCGATAGCTTGTGCTTCGGAGTGAGATCGCTCAGCTGCGACAGCTGCAAATGATGCATGCGTAACCACCACCACCACACCGCCACCACCACCACCACCACCACCACTGCTACAACTACTGCTCCTACTACCACTACTTGGCCTAGGACGATCAGAGGAAGCAGATGCGCGTGTTGGAGCAGGCACTTGCGCTTTCAGCTTACTTCCCAGCCGGCTTCGTAGAGAGTTGGGCTTTCATGGCTTGGAGGTCTACGCTTGCAGTGCAGTATTCTGCGTTCCAGGAACTGGACAGCAGCCATCCAGCCAACACCGGTGGCGTGCTGTCATCTGTTGCCGAGCAACCGCAGCTTGGCAAGAGATGAATTGCTTCCCAAGCGCACCCCTTTCTTGTAATCCGTTGTCATCGAGCGCCCAAACAGCAGGATGCTGTCTCTCGTCTGGCTCCGCCTGACAACATGCAGGATGCTGTTGGCAGTGGCTGGCGGCATCGGAGCATCTGTCGGCAACACGGGCAGCATCAACTTCGATCGGGCCGGGAGCTCCAGAACCTCAGCTGCTCCAGAATTACCAAGAAAAACCGAGCATGCCAGGATCTCATTCGCCGGATGAAGATGCAGGACCTGCTCGTGATGTGCTTGCTTCTGCCAGGGACTCTTCAGTCGGCATCAACCTTGACCGATCTTCTAGTCCGACTTGCTTCAGGGGCCATCTCTTGTGGTGTTCGGGTTCGGGTCTGGAATCCGCGTAGGTCCTTGAGTGCGAAGCTGAGGTTCGTGTACTATGCCACCTTGTCCTTCAGCGCGTGCCTAGCGCACAGACAGGTGCAGACATCAGTCCTTTCGGCCCCAAGCTGCCGGCAGACTGCCTGCAGGGTGCAAACAGATCTCGGGTGAAGTTTTACGCCGACCCCCGGATGTACATCAGCACGGCCGGGGCCCTGGCACTGATGCAAGAGGAGAAGTTCGTGTCAAGTAAACGACACAGATCGTTCCTTATAAGCCGCATGTAATAAGCCCACATCCAAAAGACAAAAGCTGCCTTCTCTCGCTAAAAGAGAAGGTCTTGTCGGCAATGCATTGATTTGGTTGCTACATGAGATCGCCAGGCAGATCAGGCGGAGGAATTCGCTTTCCTGGAGGCAGTTGCATCGATGTTGACTGGATGTGCTTACCACTCATTTCGGCAGCTGGCATAGGAGATTTTAGGAATCTTCTGGCACGGAATCCAAAATGGCCAGGCATGTAGCTGCAGAGTATACTCGACTGGAGCCGGACACGTCTTCACGCACTGGATAGGGCATTCACATTGATTTCGATCTTCCATGTTCGCAGTTGTGAACAGCCAGACCAGAACCTTCACAGCCACGGCTTTAGCCTCACTCATTCGTAAGATTTCGCAGTTTCACACTTTCTGCAGGCATTCAACCAGAAGCCGAAACAAGTCCATCTGCGAGCAATCCACTTAGAATCCGGGCAAGTGCGACCGCAGCTGATAGAATGCAGCTGCAGTGATCTTGCATCGCGGCTTGCAGAGCAGTCAGTTCGGTGGTGACAGGGTGACAGGACTCATTTACACTCAGCTCTTAAGACTTGTGCTTCGCGAGAGCATGCGAGGTTACTGGCTATCTGCCCGTCACTAACAACTTTCCCGGATCCTTCTTTTGGCGAGGCACGGAGTGTGTCAGCCGTTGTGTTCGGTTGCCCCATCAAAGCTCTGTATAGCAGAGTGCAGTCGCGCAGATGGCCTCTATGCGGTCGCTTTTTCGTTCGCACTAGACTTGACGTGCGGAGCCTGGCAAGCTGTTTTGGGGGGTGTAGCAAGATTCTAGAGGAAGCTCTGCCAGCATCTGCCAGCGCAAGCGGCGGCTAGTCAGTGCACCGGCTGCCAGAGCATCACAGCCCAGGAAACTTGCCCCAGAACCAAGCATATCTCAATATATCGAGCTTACGTGCACTTGCACAACGACACTAAGTGACTTGCCTTGAGGCGACGAAACATGGGGGTTTCCCAAAATAGGGGACCTTAATACAGTACCCCCCAACAATAGGATCCTTACTATGAGGATCCCAAAATAAGGTACCCCTTATTTTCGGAGACTCCCACATCACCCGAAATTCTATCATCCGACTTTGGCTCAGGCCGTGGGTGGCACGCACGAGCTTTCGGCAGCCAGAGGTTCCCTTCTCCAGACTGTACCTGTAGGCTCCATTGTAGTTCCTTGTTGGGGTTACCTTGTAGAATCCTTAATATGTAGTTGGTTAAACCAAAAAAAGGAACTACAATGGAGACTTATAGGTATTGTGAATCGTGCGTAATCTGCACTGCACAGGACACTGATGACGAAGACGCACCAGAGGCTCAGGGGTTTCCTGATGCAAAGGCTACACATGGCTACACAGCGACCTTGACGGCGTGTCCGTGTTCTTTTTTGGCAGGGCTCATGCTTTGACAGGCTGGCGTGCCCGGCGAGGAATCGAGGGCCAAGGGTGGGGAGATGTAGCGGGTGCCACGAAACCCTTTGCATGCTGCTTCGGTTTTGAAGATGTTCGAGTAGGCCTGGCAAGCAACATGTGTGGTGAACTGCAGTTGCGCTAGGTGGCGACAAGCCATCCAAACATTACGAGTGGCACGTCCCTGTTTAGTGGCTTTCTCGAAGAAGCTTAAACGAGCTGATGATGCGATATCGGGACCGGGTCTAATTCGGCCCCTGGACAGGATCGTCGTTTCGAAGTAACGACCATCTCTGATGTCGAAGACGTTTGCAGCAAGGGCATGCAGATTAACGATTCTATTCGGTGGCTGTTGCAGGACCTGCTGAAGCTTCGTAGGTTCCTGGCAGAAGACACCAACGTGGAGCCGGCCTGTTCAAGAGTCCTACTTCGTCTTAATCACGGGGTGAGAGGTAGGGCAGATGAAGTTTATCTTTGTCAAGCGAAGTGGATGACCACGCGAGACTGGATAAATTGTCAATATGTGCGTGCGGGCGGACAGGGGCGCTTGCTTGCGTGCGCCTACGTGCGTGCGTGGGTGTCTTTGTGTCTGTGTTAATGCGAGACTGTGCGTGCTTGTGCTTGCGTGCTTCACAGTGTGGTCGTGGTAGGATATGGCAATTGTCGAAATGCTCAGCTCTCAGAAAGAATCAATGCTTTGCACCTGGCTGGGTTTACTATCTTTTGATTGGCCCCATGGTCGTCATGGCCAGCATACTCGATGCAGGCTGCGAAAGTAGCGAGTTACTCACGGGGGGTGTCTGCCTCCCCTGAAGGGTCCGCTGTGACGGTTGATAGCCTAAACCTGCAGGGCATGTAAAAGATTCTACGCGGTTGCGTGTCACATGTGCCAGGAAAGGGTAGCGTGGTCATGCACGGCAATATTCTAAACAGACTGCCAAGGAGGAAAACAATCACCTGGTCATGCTGGGAGGAGTTGGCCATGTCCTTGACATCCAAAGTACAGCAAACAGGTGCATCATTACTTGCTAATGCCCGCCACAGACAAGGCCATGAACATCAAGCACCGAGTCCGCCAAGCTGGCTTTCAAGGACAGCCACTCATTTCGCATCCATCTGCTCAGATTCCGTGCCCTCGTCGAAGGAGTGATCAACATCGACCGCACAGAGCAGGAAGACATGTGCATCTACAAGCATGAAGCTCTGCTTCTGACGCTGCCCGAAGGCTTTTGACAATCTGAAGCGACTCCAAGGAACACACAGTGGGCCAACTTCATGCACGGCAAAGCACTCAAGGCGAGTTTCCGGCAAAGTCGACAAGGGATCATTCATAGGCGTTCGAGGTTCTATGTACCGTGATCGACTCGAGGCTCCATGTCAAGGTTGGTGAGGGTGGTAGTGTTGGAAGCTATTATGTTCGACCTTATGTTATTGTTCGGGTACCAAGCAGGTCGTTGCCGACTCAGATCGCTTGAACTCTCATGAGCTTGTACCAGGAAGGGAACACGAACGAACATGGAACATTTTCAACCTGGAACTCCTTTGTTGGCTTCCGTGCCGTTGTCTTCTGGACATTGCGTTGGAGCAGTGGGCACGTGTACAGTTTGTTCCAAAAGGCTCAGAGGTTTACTTGACAACGCTTTCCTGCTAGCTGGTATCTTGATCTAGCTTCACAGCACACTCTGCGCAGCTTGTTCTCCGGTCCATGACGATGAAGCAGAGACTCGCATGCAGGTGCTGTTGGCTCTGAGTGTGGTGGGATGGCTGTTCTATGTGCTGCAGACTCAACGGATGTCATGTCTTTTGCACTTACAGAAACGAAATGGCTGTGCATGTGTTGCATGTCACTTCTGCGCATCGGAGCCAAGGCCTTACATGTGGTTGCGATGCACGCATTTGCATGTCAACTGCGCGCACAGCATCAAGATTTCGATAAGCCTCGCTCTCAGCCCTGCACGATAATGTCTCGCTCGGGGTCTCAGAGCAGGATATCACTGGGAGATGTTGGCACTGCCGACATCGCTATGCATGGGCTCTGTGTGTGTGTGTGTCAGCTTACATTCGGGAGGTGCAAAGGGTGACCCTA